ATTTTGAGAAGGTGATAAAAGACTGACCAGAACCGATGAACGCCTCGAGAGACGCACTGCCGAGGATTCATCATCGGTGGAATCGCCAGTTTGAAGCGCTGCTGGATCGGCACTGACCGACGATCGGAGTGCGGTTCGTTCGGCTTCCACATCCGCATCCTCACGATTGATCGCTATCGGTCCAAGGCATGGATTCAGCAGTTGTCGTAACACGAAAAAAATCCGCAATACAAACTGCCGCATTTATTTGTTTCAGCACCTCAAAGCAAGAACACCACAACATTTGATCTACATAGTTTATCTAGGCTCTTTCCTATCATCATCTTCATCTATCCTTTTCTTCCATTGCGTTCGATATCTTCCATTCAAACGAACATTCCACCAACATCATCACCTCCAGCAGATAGCACTCAATTATTTCATCGCTAACCCTCAGCTAATCCATCAAATAATAAAAACACACGTAAACATGTGCGCAAAAAAATACGCATTGATTTTTCGTTTGATTTGTTGCTAAGTGGTCAAGATTCCTTACGTCAACATGGAAAAACTGTTTGTCATGCAGGCAACAGCTAGCTATGAATTTTGAGCCCACAACGCGATCGAATCAATCACGCACTCTCTGAATAGAGTGGAACCAACTAGAATTCTTCGAACTTACTACTGAGAGAAATTAAAGTTTTCCGAATAAACTGAGAATTCTTTAGCTTCGCAACTGAGATAATCTACTGAACAAATTGTAGAGACTATACCGAAATCATTTTCATGATAGAACACAAAATACTCATTATTATTTGCGTTGATCAACGTTGATCAAACGAAATGATTTTTTGGCATCGATAAAAATATCGAGAGATTTCGTGGAAAAGAACTCGATAATTCATCACTTTCATTATCTGATTATAAGATCAGCTACATATTTGACTAATTGTGCGTAGACTGATAAAAGTAGATTTGAATATTTCAAACAAGTTGTGTGCAAATATTAACCTCAACTTCTCGGGAATAACACAGATAAGTGACGGCAGTCCATTACAGCGGATTCGATAAATGAATTATGCGAATGAAACACAAAACACTTAATTAGTCAATTAATTCATATTGAATTGATAAGCAATAAACAGTCGAGATCAATAATATCGTTGACGAAAAACCATCAAATGAATAATAATAATATATCTATTGCTCTTTTTTAATACTCTTCAAGCAATAATCGCTGCTTCTTTTCACTCGACTTCGATCGCCTTTGTTTTAGCACTTCAAATACATAACCAATCAAATAGTAACAGCATCAGTAGCAAAAACTCGTTAATATCCATTGTTGAAAGACCATTGTTCACACCTTAAAACATGGTCAATTAGGAGGAATCGTATTGTTTGAAGAAATTAGTAAGGACGACAGCGCAGATCATTCACTGCCCGTAAGTCAATCATGATTGTGGATTTTAGCTGATTGAGCTGAGTTTTNATCAATGGAATCAATTCAGCTGATTTGGAATTGTTGCCTGATCTTAATAAATGATCAACTTCACATTCAGCTAAATTTAATGGAATCATCACCATCGTCATGAGAACGCTCATCAAAAAATGTTCGTTCGCTCTTATCAAGCTGAATGGAGTTGAAGCTCAATAAAGCTCTAGATTCATCAGGTTTTCAAGTGATCCATGTCTCCTACAGCTAACAATATCATACACCTTCTGACTCTGAATCGAACTTTTAAACAGTTGCTGATGAGAAATTTCCAAATCGAGGAATAAAAATTTAGAAAGACGGCAGATAAACAGTAAACGAATACTTAAAAATAGTAAGTAATAAATCAGTAAATTCATTTGGGAGATAACAACAACACAATGACAAATGAATTATATGATAAAATTGCACAGAGCCATTTCAGTGGCACTGACTTCAATTTTTTAAAATATCATTGTTCTAGCACTTCAGTGGGTGATTTCCAATCGGAACAACGCAACGATAACTGGAAGAAAACACCAAAATTCATCGCAAAGAAACAACATCAATCACAACAGGAACACATTTATCAAAAACAAAAGTGTAGTGTATAAATTGCACTGAATCTTCAGTTAGTCGTATTGTAATATGATATCTGACGTCAACGATGTCGAAAATGCTACGTATTTACCAGATTATTCATCCTCATTAGATGACCTTGCATCATCTCATTGCAATGAACTAATCCTGAGCAATATGAACACAAAAGTATCACTTCCTTGCATACAAACAGATATCCAGTATCATAGAGTAACACAGCTAAATTGATGCTGCTGAATCGAAAAAGCCAAATTGCTTCAAGCAAAAACATTCTTGAGATGATAAGGATGATATGATGTTAGGCTGGTGGCGTTGAGCAATGAGCGAGATTGTATGTTGGATAGTTAGTGTATGTGAGCGATTCTTCGAGTCTCGTTAAAGTGAGCGCTTATTAAACATTAGCTGAATCGATGGCAGCAGCACTCGTTACAATGCAAGATTATATACGCGTTCTGGATTGATAACATTTGATGGAGTTGATTGAGGGTTGAGGCCAAATGAAATGATAAATGAATGAATGGGTTAATGAAAGACGACTGAATGAGTAAAATGGTTTTTTTTTTGTGATTGTTCGTTCTGTCGACTTGAATCGACTCTTTTTAAAAGTGCTAATGTTAAACAATTTCGTGTGTTGTTTGTTGTATGTACACAGTGGTACAGCTGACGGTATTTGATGTCGGTGATGATATGATGATAATGATAATAATGATAACACAACGATGATGTGACGAAGACGATGCAAGCTAGCCAGTCAAGCGAAATGAATGAACGCTTTTAAGACTGTGTAAGAGAAGACAAGAAGAGAAAGGAAAGACGACTATTGTAGATTGTAGGGTTTTTGATAAGCATTTTGATAATTTCTAATGATAAACGTTTCGTTGGATAGCAGCAGCAGCAGCTGGTTGATTATTTGAAATTAGCAGCGGATTTGAAGTGAATGGATGGGATGTGGATGAATGGACACGTTGGTTGGAAGTTTTAGCTTGAACAATTCAATCATGAGACTGAAATGTTGGTGAAGTGAATGAATGCAGCGAATGACTGATTCGTTTTTGATGCGTTCGTCGTTCATTTCTTTGCGGCGGATTACTGCTACTGATCGCGAGCGAGCGACGACAGGTCTGTGCAACGAAAAAGCGAAAAACCACTCGCTTTAATCAATGGACAAGACAAATCGAAGCCAACAGGAATATTTATTGAACAGCTATGGCAAACAAACAACTCAACACCACTAAACAGCAGCAACACAATTGTAAAGGAAATTTATTAGCGACCAGAACGATTTGATTTGATGTTTCGAGGAAATCATCAATGTTTCGGATGGAATCCAGTGAGATGACAATCAACTACTGATCGGTCATATTCTGTGATGGATATATGAAGTTTTAATGACAAGCAGCTATATTACTGACGAACAGATATCATCTGATGATTTGATAATATACACCCAAGACATATCCCATTTGATAGCAGTAATGATCATATCAAATCAGATGAAATCAAAGGTATANCTAGCGTAAATTGACAAGTGATGATAAGATAGATACGTTGAGGTGTAAAATGATTTGCAAATCATTTGAATTTTATGATCATCAGTCGAAATGTTCCTCAGTTCAAAATTGTATTATGTTATTATTCTCAACGATGACCTCAGAAACTATTCAACAGCTGCTGCTCACTAATTTCACAAATAATTCCACCAGCCACACTGGTATAATATATTCAATTGGATTTACAGCTAATGATATCGCATTTCATTGTTTCATATTTACTACGCACACTTCATCACGTGTTCAAGATGAGTGATTCCAGACAACTACAATGATAAATATTGTAGGTTTTGTAAAATACTGTCCCACAAACGAATTTTTAAAGAATTCCTTTTGTTAATAATGCAAACGCATTAAAATTGTTTTGCATTTTCCTCAGAGTTCAGATGAGCTCGTCTAAGAAACTCATAGAATATCGTTGAGCTTTTGAATAATGCTTTGGAGCATATCGATGGTCTGTCTGAGTAGAATAAGTACATCATGAAATATGAGAGCAATCCAAACTGCCTGATTCTTATTCTGTCGTAGATGAATTGCTGTAAGATTTCCTCAGTCATTTAGCAGTGTTTCTGAAATCCCGAAATGTCCTTGTATGAGTATATGTATGAATTTTGAATGCGATTTATCTGCTGAATGCAACAAAAGCATTTGATGGCTGCAGTAGCCGTGTCTTAAGCAACACTTTAAAATGCTATTGCCTTCATCATGCAACTCGTGCAGCGTACAGGTAACCACAGTAGTTCGCTGGATTTGAATTTGGCTCCCTGGAAGCCAACGGTACAATGGAAATCCAATAGGAATCTTGCACAGTACATTTCCACCAATGTGACAGCCCAACTCATGCTCCATTGGTTACACTTTGAAATGTGATCAAACGTTTTCGATCAAACGCTTTCAATGTTAAGATACTAATCTAAACATGGCAATTGCCGAAATATGGATACGATGGTAATCGTATTATTAGTGATGGAAAAATTTTTTTCATTCAATAAAATTGAATGATTTGAATGAAATGCGATGAAATTCTCAATACGTGCTATTTGAAGTTGTTGAAACACAAGTCAATTAATCAAAATCGTGTTGAAATCTCAAAATCAAATCAACAAAACAACAGCTGCATAATCACATCTCCATCATCGTCATCATCTGCGACTCTACTAATCAGAACACTCGAAATTCTCTTCGTCTTCTTCCAAATGCTCGTTCATTCAATCCTCACTCAACTCACCTAACTCATCTAACCTACAAACTTATTTCTCGACATTTCCCACTTTTTCGCGCATCTTAACTCTAGCATTTTCTCTAGCTTTAGTGGTGATCCATTTCGGCATCGTTAATGATTATTCTCTCTCTCTGTGAACGCTCAAGAAACACAAAGTTTTGGTGTTGATCTTCAAAGAATCATTTGATTTCAACCGAACAAGATTGATCACCGACAAGCGACAAGAAATTATTTGGTTTTCCTTCGGTAAAAATTGCTCTGGACAATAAGCATTTTCTAATATTTTTCAAGAAGCAACACGCTCTCACCTGCAGCTTGTTCTTCTGATTCTTCAAGCCAGTGCAAACGCGCTTGTTTTGCAGTGGTTCGTTGTCAATTTTTGAAGTTCAGCAGTCATCATTGAACATTACAAACAGCTACA